GCACCTTGATTTAATCTTGATTCACTTTTTATTTCTAAAGATATTGATACATTGGCTCATATTTCTTTCTTTATGACTGAAACTAAACTCTAATGTTAAACATTTTTCAGTCTTAAATCCTAAACATATGTCTCCTCTTTTAATATTTTAGTACTGTAATCAAGGACACAGTAGTACAGCTTCTAGAAGATACCTTTTCTTCAGTGTTATCCACCTGTGAATGTGTGATCACACAAGTACTACCTTGTTATTAGAAACTCAATTTTGATCACTTGGTGAATTATATGACACCAAATGAATTATATGCCTGCTGTTTATAGTGGGAAACCTTGAGAAAGTTAATCCTGTCATATAGTGCACATACTGGGAGTCAGGAAGCTCTTCTGTTCCATTGGTAGTAGGATACAACAAATAGAAATAACAGGAAAAGTTTGTAACCTGAACCACAATAGACTGTGTTAGTTCAATACTTTTTAAAACTTATGTGCATGTGGATCCTGTACTTATGGTTCTGAATTGAGGTCTACCATCCTTTACTTGTGAAGTCCTCCTTCCCTAGTAACTCACATCAATATTTGAATGTCAATAATACTAAAAAGTGCCTAATATAAAATCAAAACCTGAGGTGGCCAATAAAGAGTAACAAAATTGTCATGAAGGAATCAAAATATTTTAAACTATTTGTTTATTTACACATTTATTTAATTATTTAATGTGTATGTATAAATGTCACAACGTAAGTGTGACAGAGAACAACTTGTATGATTTGTCTTTTTCTTTCCACAATGATTGGTCCAGGAATCAACTCCTGTGAGGTTTTATTTTTTTTTCACATACTGAGCCATCTTGGTGTTTAGAAGGTTCTGAGTAGGATACAATGTATATTTTCATGCATTCATTCAACCAGGGATAACAGAAATTTAGCTTCTTTCTTTTACTTCCTCTTTTCTATCCTCTCTCCTTTCCTTCCTCCCTTTGTTTATCTCTTCTTCCTTTCTTTCTCTCTTTCTTTTCTTCTATTCTTTCATTCTTTATATCTTTCTATTGTTTCTATCAAATAACATTTTGTCTTTGATTTGTTATTTTTCAAAAAACTTTTCATAGGGTATATTTCTATTGTATTCTTTTCTTTACCCCAACTGTTCCCAGACCCTCCCAGTTCTTCCACCTGTCCAACTTTATGTACTTTATCTTTCAGTCAAAACAAAACAGAAAAACCACCAAAAAACAAAGCAACAACATCAACAAAAAAGAAAAACAAAATTGACAAATTAAAATGGGAAAATCAATCAGACAAAATATAACAGCGTGCACACACTCACCATGGAGTCTGAATACCGTTCATTAACTACCCTAGTTACAGAACCTTCCCTGGAGTGTTTCATATTTCAGTGATACTGCATTAGAGCAAACTGATATTCCTTTTTTAAAAGTTATCTATTACAAATCAGTTCAAGGCTATGGTTGTGATTGTCCACTTGTATTTCTCAGTGCTGGTACTTTTATGGTTTGAACTTGTGCTGGGTTAGTGTGCTTGCTTTCACAGTCTTTGTGAGTCCACATGTGAATCAGTCCTCTTCTTTCTGGAAGATTCTGTTTCCTTGGAGTCATCCATAATATCTATTTTTTAAACTCTTTCCACCCACCTCCTCTTATGCATATTCCCTGAGCCTGGTAGATAGGTATTTGATGAAGACAACCCAGGTAGATAATTTCTTTAACCATGAATAAGTTAAAATATGCCTGAGCAAACACATGTGGATCTGATATTTCTTTTGCTTCTGCTTCACCTTCACAATAACTAATTTTTTCTGTCATGATTCATTAATTCTTTCCTTTAATTTATAGCTGTTCTATTTTGTGAACATCTATCCCTATAAATATCTGTCAGTTGAATATAATATTTTTTATCACGTAAGTAGTAGACAGGTTTCCATTAGTGTTTTTAGAAACCATCACACACAGTCATTCTTCATCAATACTCTCTAATCCTTACTTAAGGATAAATATAAGCCCACTGTATTGTTTTTTTTCATTAGTTATAAACTGATTGGCCCATTAACTCAGGCTTCTTATTAACTTTTTCTTTCTCATTATTTATTGTGATTGTTTACAGCAATCTATTATAACATTCAACAAATATTATTTAATATTTTAAAATCAATATCTTTTTTACCTTCTTGCTGGCCTGGGTAGTTATGAATTGGTCCAAATGTTCAAAGTCCTGAGCTCCTGCTACCCTGTGCTTTGTCCCTACCCAGACTTCACCTCCTGCAGCACGAGAGTTCCTGATAAGGTTTTATTGCTGCTGGGGATTGCCCCAAAGACCTGTATGTACAATGTGTGCTTTGCCACTGAGTCCCATCTCTGTCCCAAACTTTCATAAGACTTATTAGCAAAGAAAGTGAAGATCAAGGCCTGGTCTGCAGATACAGCTCTCTCCAACCGGTAGGCATTATCCTGAAGGGCAGTTCTGGGATGGCTCTAAAGGACAGCTGTAAAAGGAGATCATTCGGTGGCCAGAACTTCAAGCAGGAGCACCACTTGGTTCCTCTGCTTGGAAGGAGAAATGTCCAGATGTGTTTACATACCAGGTTCTGGGCTAGAGCCAATGGCTTGGCTGCATGGTCAGAAAACTTGGAAAGAATATTATTGCAAACTTGGTGAAAGAGAAATTTGGGGGAGAGCTGTGTGGTTAGAATTCTTTGACTGGGGGAAAAAGCCATGAATGTAATTGTGATCTGTGCAAATTATCATCTGTGAGAATTATGTCGTCAGAGTAGGATGTTAGTAGTCAAGGGCATAAAGGTGCCCCAATCCATTTATACTGACTACCTCTTCCACTTCCCAAAGAGCCCGTGAAGAAAGTGGGCATGGTGGATGTGATGAAAGTTTTTAAGGTCTTGGCAACAAAGATTTCATTTACCAAGCTGACCAAGTGTTGTATAGTAATTTCCTCAGAACTGCAACATTCGGCCAAGGAAGGAGGCTGTCAGGTTCCTGAGGCCCAGGAAGCAAACTTCACATGTCTGGGAAAGCTTCAGGATTCACAAGGGTCCCTCCCTACTGTTATAAAAGCAGGAAAACACTGTGGGGGCAAGGAGATTTTGACAAAGGTAGTTGGCAAGCGGTTTTTGGACCTATAGGGGCACCGACAAGTAACCCTGAGAGCTTCAGAAATACAACTTTCATGACACCCGTGTTGTGGGCGTCACACATGTTATGGGTGACAAACACCCATGTTGTGGGGAAGATTTTCAGTATGCCACTGCATTTGAACCATCCACGCTCGATGGTTTTCATGTGTTTCACCAGAATGGTGAGCTTTGAGTCCTCGTATGTCATCAGTAACTGTACCATAAGGTTATTGTCTGAATATTTCTCACCGGTACCCACAAGTTGAGAATCTTCAAGTATTGATTGCATATGTTCAGAGAGAAAAAAGCTAAGTACACAATCATTCTGAGAAAAGAAAAAAGATAAAATGCAATGGTATAATATTTCTTCATTTTGTATATTTACTCTTATAACTTACATTAGCCCCTTATTCTTGTCTATGTTGCCTATGCTCAGTACCTTTTTCAGCAAGGCAGATACATCTTGCTTCTTCTATGGCTGGGCCAGGACTGTGCACCAAGCTTTTCTCTTCCCCAAATTCTCCTATTCTCCTTGACCCGCCTCTACTTCCTGTCTTGTTGTTCCACCTATACTTCATGACTGGCTACTAACCAATCAGCATTTATTTAAAATATAATTTACAGAATACAGACAATTGTTTCATATCACTTCCCTCTCTTTTTTTTATAAAAGAACTCTGAATCTAATATTCTTTGTTTTACTCTTCTCCTGACCATTAGCCATAACAACTTGTAACCAACATTCTAAACAAAGGAAAATATCCATAGTCCATTTTTGGGGAATGTAGGCATAGTTTTCCAGACTACTTCCTGCTGGTTGGGGGCACTGATAATCTTATGGAGACCTAGAGAAAATTTAAAATTATGATCGAGTTCTGACGGGAGTATCCCGTGAGTCTTGATCATCTCAGGTAGCAGTCTTGAATCTGTTCTGGATGTAGAACTCAGAAATCTTTAGCCAATTGTATTCTTTCTTTAACTTTTCTCTTTATAATTCTGTTTTTATTGCCTTGTGATTTTCAATTTTTTTATTTATAATGCATCAAGAGAGTCATGAAGTATGATATTTATAATCCTAAATACTAATATTCATCAGTATGTCTCTATGGGTCAACCTGCTGAGGAACCAAGTAGAAAGAATAAGTCTGGATTCTTGAACATTCTGAGAAGGGGCTCATGCAGTAAATTTTTCTGTCTTCAGCATAGATAGGAAAAGACCCAGAATAAAAAGATCCTTATAAACTAAAGTCTAAAACATTGGTCCTATAACTTCCTAATGCTTTGACTTCTTAATACAGTTCCTCTTTTTGTGGTGACCCCAACAATAAAATCATTCATTGCTATTTCATAACTGTAATTTTCCTACTGTTATTTATCATAATGTATTAAATGATCAACAAGATATCTGATTTGTGATCCCTGTCCTGTGTAGGTTATAACCCACAGTTCAGGAATATTGGTTGACATAGTAGGACCACTGAGAAGATGCATAAAAAATAGATTATTTAAAAGTCAGCCTCAGAGGAGGTAACTCTTGACCATGATCAGAAAGAGCTCAGTAATTCAAGCCTTTGGGAAGTATGGTGGTCACAGACATGACAGACCTAAAGCTACTCAGTGGGGGCCCATACGTTCCACTGAAGAATCTGGAGACTCTCAGCTAAGAACACAAACCTATCTCCTTGTGACTGTTCATGGTTTAGTAGGCCTAGCAACTGGGGCTACTGTGAACCCTTGGGCAGCCTCAGAAATGAAGTGACACCCAGACTTTTGACAGTACCAACACCTAAGAAGAGATTTGGTTGACCAAGACAAATTTGCATGAAGGGCCCTTTCAGTTCTCTGAGAATTGTTAAAGGAGAAGAGAGACCCACACCATGTCTGTCTCAGCAGAGCTCACTGGTGTCTGCACCATGGCCTGGATTCCTCTCCTCTTCTTCCTCCTTCGTTGTACAGGTCAGAAGAATCATCTGCACCCTGATGACAGTTCAGGAAACAAACTCATAGCAAGATATATTTTTCCTCTTCTTTCACCCCAGGAGATAATGTGTCTCTCTATTTTCAGGGTCATTCGCCCAACCTGTGCTGACTCAGTCGCCCACAACCTCGGCCTCCCTAGGAAACTCAGTTAAACTCACCTGCACCTTGAGTAGTGAGTACAGCACCTTCCCCATCAGTTGGTACCAGCAACAACCAGAGAACGCTCCTAAGTTTGTGATGTTGCTTGCAAATAGTGGAGACCCTGACATGGGGAATGGGATACCTAGTCGCTTCTCTGGCTTCAGCTCTGGGCCTCATCGCTACTTAAGCATCTCCAACATTCAGCCTGAAGATGAAGCTGACTATTTCTGTGATGTACATTATAGCATTAGTGGAGATTATGGGTGAACACAGTGAGCTAGGTAAATGAGGAAGCAGGACAAAAACTGTTTTCTTCTCTTGCTTCCAAGGCTGGCCTATGGCTTTGGAAAGGATCATCTGAAGTTCTTACCTATCACACTTCTTGAATTATTTTCCTCTTGTACTCAAGGGAGCAAACCATAATTCTAGCAATTTATCCTGGGCTCCTTAGGAAAGAGGGCAAAGGCAGGAATAGTATAGAGTACACTGTTGCATAAAAGTGGTGACTATGTAAAATCAAATCTCATGTGTATAGAGATGAAGGGTGAGAATATTCTCCTATGGTCAAAGGCTCTCACTGTTGTGCAACAAAGTTCACAGTAATGTCTAATCTTTGTAAGATTAAGATTGTCTCCTGCTCTAAATGTTTTTTTCACTTCAATAAATTGCCAAAAAGCACCTTGTAATAACATTTATGAGTGCAAGGTCCCATATACTCTTGATAAAATAACAGTAACAGCAATGTCTTAGCATTTTCCTTGAATACACATGAACTTCTCCATGTTGCTCCTGACACCCCTTCTTTACTTAGTAGGCCTTTCCAGAGATTTTGAAGGAAGGATAATATGACCATCAGATGGTTTAGTCTCTGAAAAAAATTCTTTTCTGAGAAATTTCTATATCAGCATTGAGGACTTCCCTTTTCCACACTGAGACCACCTTTAAAATATTACTTTAGGCTTAAAATAACCAATGAAATCATAAGCCACAACACATGAAAGATAAAAACAAGATCAATAAACACAGAAAACTGTACAAAATTCCTATAAATCAATCTTATTGTAAGAGTATCAGGGCATCAATCTTTAGTGTAGTCTTTCAGTGAGAATGCCAGAAGAATTACATTTGTTTTCCTGGAGAAGTCTCTGAAATTCAACTTGTAGAGCAGAGTCCCATAGCAGGGCCTATGGGCTGTTAAGTGGTTTTGTTAGATCACAAACCTGAAACCTCAGGCCCTGCTGGTAGTTATGAGGCTCTGATTGGTTTATCAGCCTTTCTCAATCCTTATTTAGAATGGTATAGCTTCTTTGTTACCTCTCTTTTTGGTTCTTTCTTTAAGTGATGAACAAAGTCCAAAGCCTTACTTTTTCTCATACTTTGATCTTCTTCACTATTCCCTCAGCTCATGTCTCTACAAAGTGGCTGATTTTCCATTTTATTAGTTATATTCCTATTGCTTTGATGAAACCCCAAGGCAAAGACAACTCTTAGAAGGGAGAGTTTATCAGGGAACTATGGTTCCATAGGGATAAGGATATAGGATGCTGAGGAAGTCACAGGTATGGAACAGGATCAGAAGCTTGGAGATCATGTCTTCAATTTTAAGCGGGAAGACGTGTATGGTGCAGGACTATGAAAATTCAAAGCTCACCCAAGTGACTTAGTCAGTAATATCACTCTTCCTAAACTTACCCAAACAGCACAACTGACTTTGCATCAAGGAGTCAAATGTCAGAACCTATGGGGGACATTCTCACTCAAACCACCATATCCATGATGGAACTGAGCACCATGCTGGCTTATCTTAAACAGCATGCCCTTTTTCATTTCTCATCTCCCTCTACTTCTTTGGGCAGCTGTCAAGATTTATAATTTGCCTTCTCTCAATTTTCTGAACTGTTTTCTTTTAAACTCTGATGAAATGGTCCTCAAGTTTCAAAATGTATTTAGGAGGAGAGAATGATATTAGATGAGAAGGAAAGAGAAAGGAGAAAAGAGAAGGAGTAAGTGGGGGCAAGAGTGTCAGACAGATTGACAAAGACAGGGGTTTGTAGGGAGAGAGAGTGTGTGAGACAGATAAGAGATAGATAGATAGATAGATAGATAGATAGATAGATAGATAGACAGACAGACAGATAGATAGCTCAGCATAAAATATTTGGCTGTGTCTGATGTCATAAAATAAGTTATCTAAGTAATCATCAACATTTGCAACAAGGAAATGCAGAACACAGAGGATGGACAGACTACACCAAAGTGAAGATGGCAATCTGTTCACACCATGACAGTACATATCCATGAAGTAATGATAAATAGGCATTAGCTCATCATCACACCCACACACTTGAGAATGTACAGCCGCACTCTGTTTTTTCCAAATAGTCTTTCCCATACCAGGTGCCCTACAACTAGCAAATATGTTCTGTCTTGTCTTACTCATCATATCACTTCCAGGTCTTTTCTTACTTAACTGAATTCCACCTTAAACCTACTTTAATCCAAAGAACAGGTAAGACAATTTTAAAAAATGACTCTGGAATTTCTCCCTGATACTCAAACTTTTGTATTCTTCTGTTCCCTCTAACTGCTCATGAGATTCCTAACCTTTGGGAAAAGAATGCAAATGCCTCTTTTTGGAATGATTATTATGGAATGACCATGCTCACCAAGCTCTTCTCTTATCACATCTAGATTTAAAGACCATATTTGAGCTGTAATGTGTAGGACTGACAATCTGGAAGGGGGGGTTGAATATTCATGAGACAGTGCTATCTACCAGGGCTAGAGAAAGATTGAAAGGACTAGAAGAGGCTCAGTTTAAGCTCTATGACCTCATGAAGCAGAGCTCTAGAATGATATCACCATGGAGTACACAGATCTCTTCCTGATCTTTTTATTCATTAATGACATCACTGGATACCTGTGTTATACTATCATCATTCTAAAGCCATTCCCTAATCCTGGATGTGCTCAGTTAAAATGTTTACATTAAAAAAAGCAAAGAATCTGCTAGTGTCTTCCAAATCAGCTACTAGGAAGTTCAGTGGAGTAAGATTTAGTAAATGTTTGAATTTAACTTTCTTAGAAGACTTATTTTTCCAAAGTGTATTGAGGTCATCCACTTGTTTATATAACTAATTCTCCCCAAGGAGAAAACGGGCCAAGCATGACATCAAGGGATGAGAAGTACTGAAGCCTGGATCCAGAATGGACAAAGGCCTTGAACAGTTGTTTATCCTTTCTGGAAAGAATCAAGATAGAAAACCACCAATTCCTCATGCTCAGCATCTTTGCAAGAACCAAGAAAACTGTTTTTGGAAGCATAACAGACAGGGTTTAGTGGGATAAGTAAAGTATATGATAATAAAAATCGGGATATGATAAAGTAACATAATCAAAGCTCAGCATTGTATTACTGTAGATAAGGAAAAGGAATTCTACAATGAAATAAATTATAAGAAACTGTTAACTGAGCGTGTCATATTCTAATACATGAATAATTATCTTGTATCTTATCTCTACCAGAAGAGATTTGCTTTTAAAGCTTTGCCTCTAGATTTTTATCATTTTATTTATTTATGTATTTAATTATTGAGCAAATGTCTCAATATGTGAACCAGGCTGAACTCAAACACACACTGATATAATTATTAGGGTGCTAGAATTAGATACATGAGCTATCAAACATGCTATTTTTATCTTAGTTTTGTATTTTCAATTTTGCATGCAAAATTCAAGATGTCATTGTTTTTTACCACTGAGTAGAACTCTAAAGTGTATATGTGCCCCACCTTCTTTATCCATTTTTCTATTGAGAGGCACCTAGGTTGTTTCCAGGTTCTGGCTATTACAAATTGTACTGCTATGAACATAGTTGAACAAATGCTTTTGTAGTATAATTGGTCATATCTTGGGTATATTCCCAAGAGTGGAATTGCTGGGTCCTGAGGTAGGTTGACTCCCAGTTTCCAGAGAAACTGCCACACTGATTTCCAAAGTGGCTGCACAAGTTTGCATTTCCACAAACAATGGATGAATGTTCCCCTTACTCCACATCCTCTCCAGCATAGCCTATCATTGCTGTTTTTGATTTTAGCTATTCTGACAGGTATAAGATGGTATCTCAAAGTTGTTTTGATTTGCATTTCCCTGATTGCTAAGGAGGTTGAACATGACCTTAAGTGTCTTTTGACCATTTGAACTTCTTCTGTTGAGAATTCTCTGTTGAGTTCAGTGCCCCATTTTTTAATTGGGTTATTTAGAGTTTTAATGTCTAGTTTCTTGAGTTCTTTATATATTTTGAAAATCAGACCTTTTTCTGATTTGGGGTTGGTGAAGATCTTCTCCCAATCAGTAGGTTGCTTTTTTGTCTTAATGACAGTGTCCTCTGCATTACAGAAACTTCTCAGTTTCAGGAGGTCCCCTTTATTAATTGTTGCTCTTATTGTCTGTGCTACTGGGGTTCTACATAGGAAGTGGTCTCTTGTACCCATGTTTTGTAGACTACTTCCCACTTTCTTTTCTATCAGTTTCAGTGTGGTCCGATTAATATTGAGATCTTCATTCCATTTGGATTTGAGTTTTGTGCATGGTGATAGATATGGATCTACTTTCATTCTTTTAAAGGTTGACATCCAGTTATACCAACTCCATTTGTTAAAGATTCTTTCTTTCTTCCATTGTATAATTTTAGTTCCTTTGTTGAAAATCAGGTGTTCATAGGTTTGTGGATTAATATCTGGTTCTTCAATTTGATTCCATTGGTCGATTTCTCTGTTTTTGTGACAATACCAAGCTATTTTCATTACTGTAGCTCTGTAATAGAGTTTGACATCAGGGATGGTAATGCCTCCAGAAGTACTTTTATTGCATAGGATTGTTTTGGCTATCCTGGGTTTTTTGTTTTTCCATATAAAGTTGGGGTGGAGTTGAGACAAGGGGAGATGGGGAGACGGAAGGGAGACGGTGAGGATTGGGGAGAACATGGGAGAATGGGATGGTTGGGATAGAGGAAGGGTGGATATGGGAGCAGGGAAGAAGATATCTTAATTAAGGGAGCCATTTTAGGGTTGGCAAGAGACTTGACTCTAGAGGGGTTCCCAGGTGTCCAAGAAGATGTCCCCCATCGATCCTTGGGCAACAGAGGAGAGGGTGCCTGAACTGGCCTTATCCTATAGCCATACTGATGAATACCTTGCATATCACCATAGAACCTTTATCCGGCAATGCATGGAGATAGAGACAGAAACCCACATGGAGCACTAGACTGAGCTTCCAAAGTCCAA